AAGAAGAAAGGAAGGATTTTTAACGGAAAAGGTCTTTTACCTCAGATAGTTCACAGAACACCCCAAATCAACCCCTCTAAAACAAGGTTTAGAAGATTTATCAAGAATTTGAAGGTAAGTCTTGAAACAAGATTCAGTAACTGGAACATGCCATTTGGCAAAGCCAACCTAAGTTACAACCTATATGCCAATAATATTAATTTTCCTGTGCATCATTCACTATCCTTAATTGTCTTAGAGATGTAGATGAAAGACAAGATCATGCAGCATAATTCTGTTTACCTACAAGCATCTCCACTGGTCAAGCACTTCAGAGAAAGTAGCTGAATATATTTAATGCTAGATTTTTTTCTTACTTTAGGTTTCTAATAGCCCCCAAATCCCCTATTTGAAGAAAATTCAGCAAAATTAAGTACATTTGATTGCAAAATCTAGACACCACACTGATGAAAACTCAATTCATGTTTAAATATCCCAGAAAACAGAGAAGTCTGTTTCTTTTTGAACTGGAAGCGACAACAGACATGTCACAGGTCAGAGTAGTAATTAAAAAGCAACACTTACATTTTTTCATAGAGGCACTTGCATCCAAGAACGGGTGATGGAAAAACTCATCTGAAAAAAAAGATCAAGAGCAATGACTCAGTGAAAGTAGTAAAGGACCAGAAAGTTTACACGGCAGGAAGGGGAATCAGTTATTGAAAGCCGAAGATGACGGAACGCGTTGAGAGTCGGCATGAGCAAATCCTGTGCCAAGGGGCAGAGCTGGAAAGCTCTCAGCAACAAAATGGGATCCTAAACGCAGCAGCACCAAAAGGAGCCAGAATCCCCAGCTGCTCAGGATGGCAAGTCACCCTAGCTGCAGAGATCCAGGATTACTGCGTATTTATCACACCAGGCTGTTACTCATTGCACAGAAGAGGTGTAGTGGGCAAAAACGCTTCCCTGGAGAGATCAGAGCTGAGCCCACATTGCACTTAAGGCAGAAATGGATTTGCTGATAGTTCACTACAGAGTTACAAGCCTAGAACTCCCTTTCTGTTATACAAGGCCCCACTACTCTTTCTTTGCCTCCCACCATGGGAGGCTATTCCACTCATCCACATTGGGAAAAATGTGTCCTGACTTGCCGGAGACCTTTAACGTGTTTTCATGCCCTCACAGTAGCCTTCCTGCCTGACTACTCTGCCTTTGATCCAGTGCAGTTCAGCACTGACTCCTCTCCTATCTCTGCCAGCAACTCAGCCTTTTGGAGCATTAGTCATGAATCAACACTGATTATTTAGCTAGCTAGAGGCAGTTCAACTTGTTTTCCCAGCACAGATTTCCTGTTGCAACACCAAGTTTACAAACTTCGGCATTCTGTAAACAGCTCCTCTTGAGCAGTCAGTTTTCCTGAAAGTAAGCTTCTTCCCCCTCCCACCTTCTCTCATTTTTATCTCCTTTCTTTTAAACTTAAACGAGCCCTCTCTTTCCCACTTCTCCTTGCAGGGCCTCAGAGTCAGAGTGTAATGGTTTGGTGCTCAGCGCAACAGACGTGATAGGAATCTCTGGCAGGAAAGCTGGAATCTCCCAGATTAGATCTGCTGTGGATGGAGAACATCCCTGCTCTGATGTGGACTGCTGCGTTTCCGGCCTCTCCTCCAGCCCACCACTCCAGAAGGTTTCATCCCCACAGCTGGTTCATCTGGTTACGCAGTAGCCGCAGAGTGGGTGGAAATGACCATTTCTTCCTCTCTTCTCCCTCCCTGCTCCAAGTTGCTTTGATTTTTGCTTTGCAATAATAATTACAATCTTACTTATAAGCATCAGCTGGAAACTTGCTACCTGAAATCCCCCTGGCTGTCCCTAGATAATCTTGGAATTGTGAAGACCTCTGCTTCCAAGTAAAACAGCAACCGAGAAGTCTCAGCTTCATTCAGGGCTGGCATGTGAATCCCCCAAAACGAGGGGGAAGCTCTGCAGAAGGACTGCAGAGGACCTCTGGGAACTGGGAGGAAGGAACATCTCATACACAGGCTTCTGTACATGGTATATCGACAAACTATCCCTGAGAAACAGCTACATCTTACAAGGATGAGCTAATTTGTATAGAGAAAGATCCCTTGTGCGATTAAGGGCAGGCAACAATCTCAGTCCAGCACAATGTGTCGTATCTGTTGTTCCCAGCAAAATCAAAGCATGTTAGACCCCAAGTATTAAGAGACACTGACTCATGAAGCAAATTCCCAAGAAGCATAAAAACGGCTTAAAGAGGGCCAAAAAGATTTGCTAGAATCAGTCTTTGACAGAAAAACAGGAACTTTAAATACCATTTCTTTTGTAATGCATGATAAAAGACACGGAGATCCACAGCGCAGACAGAGGAACTGCAGGAAATTGTGAGGGATGCTCATGATCCAGTCAGCCTGACTGTAGCTTCAGCAACTCCCTTTTGAAAAGGCTTTTCTCATTTCTGCATCCTAGCAAGTTCTAGTCCTTTACATTCAGCACTGGATAACTACAATCAGCCTCTTAATACACACACTTGCTTTATCCAGATGACAGCTTACCCAGAAAGGCTTCCCTGATATCTCTAATCCAAAAAATCACAGAGGCTGCAAAACAATTTCTTTTCAACTAGCAGGTCTTGCCCAGCAGGCAATAATACACCTAAGCAGATAAGTAACAACCTTCTCCCTGTCTCCAAACACTGACGCTACTCACATCTTGATTTTTACCCGAGAAAGGGTGAAAATTTACAGCGTAGCCTCTGTCCTTGCCTAGGGAGGAGGAAGACAACAGACCTGCCTTTAGATGACCTGGTCCTTTAGGGGCTCTGGGAATAATTCCAACTCTGCCTGCTTGCCCCTAAAACAAGGCTCCTCTAGCTTTTCAGAGCTTTTAGCTTAGCTAAGCACATCTGGAAGAGGCTGCCAAAAATAACTGCCTGGCTCCTAATGATTGCTTGCAGTCAGGAAGGAGTTAGTCACCAGAAAAAGGGCCTTAAGGAAAAAATCTCTATGCCAGGCAGGTCAACACTGAGACAGATCTGCAAGGAGAGCCAGCTGTGAGCCCTGGTAAGCACCAAGGCATTATTCCACAGGAACCTGGAGGAATGAACGTGCTGCAAGCAGCTGCATTGAATTGGATTATTATTGCAGACCCAAGGAGAGGGAACATAACAATTGAATTATCTATTAAGTAGATGCAGCTTCCATCCCCTTGGGAAGTTATCATGCCAGAGTACAAGTGTAAGAGTTATGTATTTCACCAGGTAGCACACCAAACACAATAGAAGTTGAGAGAGGTTACAAAATCAGAGGTCAGCATAAGGAATACAGGGAGGAAAGCGTTTGGCAAAGGTGTGCCAAGTCTCTGGGCTCACAAAGCTTTACAGGAACCAGCGCTGAACTTTCAAGCATATAATAAAAACACAGGATAATGCAACCTTCTGAGCAGGTGGAACACACGTGCCACCTGTCTGGATGTTTCTAGCAGCACCAACCACAGTTACGAAGGTCTGTGCAGTGCAAGGCACAAAAAGGAGAAGGCAAAGACAGGCAGCAGAACTGGAGCCAGGGGCTTCTTACCAAAGTCCATGCGGTCCTTATGATTGCGCTGCAAAAGCCCCAGTAGCAGCTGCCTTAGGTGGCTTGATGTCTCTCTGGGGATGCTAAAATTAAAAACAAAAGCAATATAAGAATGAGTCTCGGACTTTTTCAGCTGCTTCTATATATTCAGGAAGGCAGACTACAAATGCAAACTTGCTTTGTGCATGCTGGGTAGGAGCAGAAGTGCTCACTGGAGAGAGGCTGAACAGGAACACTTCCATTTGCATCTCCATTTGCCTGTTACTTCCCAATATCATCATTAAGGCTATGGCTAATCTAGCTTTAAGTGGCCTTCCCAAAAGCAGCTGCAGATCCTTCCCTTCCACAGTGGAGCCAATATCATCTGCCTAGTTCTCAGCTAAGTCCATTAAAGGTAAAATATGTTGCAGAAGATAAATTAGATCTTTTCTTCTTGTTCTAATGAGAATGAGGTGATCATTAAAACAAAGCAGTTTAGGGAAAGCTTCCAATTAAGACATTGGTAGTGAAGTTTATCACCAATTACTACCATTTTATTAAGGTATTCATTTTCAAATGCAACTTACATAAACCAGCAAGTAACCTTTGTCTATTTGCTCCCTTGTTATACAATATTTATTAATCGAAGGCCACTAAGATCAGAGCATCTGCCACCCAAGCAAGTTAAAATTAGTGCTGCTATTTCCCCACTCTGCAATAAAGCAGAGAAGGAAAAGAGAAGTAGAGAAAGAAATTTACTCTTCAGCGCCCAGCAGAGCTAGTAGGGGGCTGCTCTCCCCCTCGCCTCACAAGCAGATGGGGAAAGGGAGAGGCCAGGGCAGTTCTTCACAATCCGGGCATATTGCACAAAGCAGGGAATAAATGAACGGATTAAGGAAGGGAAAGCAGAGTTCAGCTCTTGCATAAGTGGATTCAGCTCCGCTGACTTCCCTTGTAACCAGAAGTGCTCTCAGGGGCCCTAACGGCAGGGCCGCGGCGGCAGCCAGAGCGGAGCTCTCCGTAGGTGGCTCCAGCTCCGGTATGAGCCCCGCTCATGGCGGCCGTGCCCAGCGCAGGCCACCGGGGTCAGCTGAGGTAACGGGCTGCGCGCGCCCGGCGCTCTGAGGCGCGCGGAGCCGCCGCTGCCGCCGCTCAGGACGGGCAGCGCTCGCCAGCCCGAGCGGGACCCACACGGGCAGAACAGCCGCGTCTGCGTTTCTCCCACCACATCCACCCGCCGTGGACGTGGGGCTGGGGCAAGGGGAGGGGAAAAAATGTGCGAGGTAACATTAATAGAAGCTTGTTCAGGCGGGAGTGAAACCAGAGCTGCTGCACAAGGTGTGTATTTATAGGCCTGAGCACTATCTGGTTATTTTTCTATGAAGTGCTAGGCCCTGCTTGTGCAGAATTTGAGTCCAGTGATTCCTAGAACACGGAGAGTCACGGCTAGCATTCATCATCCCTGTTTGTCCTCCAGGAGCTGCTTTTCCACCCCTGACACAAAAACAGCTCGAGCAGCTTTTCCAGCCTAACGCGGGCTAGCCTCATGGGCTGATGAAGGAGGCCGGCAGCTCCGGAAGGGATGCAGTTAAGCTGAGACTTAGCCTGAGCCAAGAAAATAACCTTTTGTCAAGAAAACAGAAGCAGACTGTGCAAGGGAGCAACACGAGGCACCGCAGCTAGCAGGCTCTCCTGAAAAATACATTAGCGCTGGGGACTCGCAGTGCTCCGCTGCTATCGTCGGAATTTATTTATTCATGACACACAAAACACTCATCCAAGATGAGTCCATTTCCCAGAAATGACTTTAGCTTTTGTATGGATTTAAAGCCAAGAAACAGGCAGGTCAAGCGGTAGGCCTGGGAAATCACAAAGCAGGCTGAAGACAGCGCAGGTCAGCAGCCCGTCTGCCTCCTCTTCTCTCACACCTCTGGGATGCCAAGCTTAGCCACCCTCCAGCATTATTTTCCAAGGCCATCCTGTTAAACATGAGTGAGAACTGCCTCCTTCCCCCCATGGTCTATTTTGCCATGCAAAAGAGTACAATCCATGTTAGGTATTTAGATCAGCACTATTCAAATTGTGAGGCCTTCGGGCTTGCCCCTGCTGACACGAGTTCCCCACCTGAGAGCAGCATTTCAGCACTCGCAATCGCACCAGCCTGCGGGCAGGGGCTGCTGCTGGGGATTTCGTGAGCTCATCCATCCCGCCCTATTCCCAAGCCGGAGCACGGCGTTTCCCATGGGATGCTGGGGAGGTGGGTGCCAACCTGCCTAGCCCCAAGGAGGCTGAAACCCAACCCTGGCACTGCTGCAGGCTGCAAACAAGGTCTCTCGAGCGGGTTCGTGTTTCATCTGCGCTGGCAAGGCTCGGGCAGGCAGTTTGTTCGTGTTTACTCAGGAAATAGCACAGATTACAGCTGCCGTTAAAGAGACTGACCAACTTTGGAAAGCATGGGGTCAACAAGAACTCAAAGGCAGCCTCGGATCCAAGTCCTGGGGTAAAACCCACAATGGTCCTCGATCCAAATCTTGGTGAACTTTGGTAGCTGAAAGGTGGCGAGGGGAAATGGTAAATAGAGAGTGTGCACAGAGTGCAGGACAAAGGGAGAGGATTAATCCCTACAAGAACAAACACGCTGTCCTCTTGCTGCCGAGTTTGCATTCCTCCTCCGGGCTGCCTCCTACCGCATGCTCGGCAGGCCGAGGTGGCAGCAGGCAGCACGGTCCTATCAGCAGGAGGAATCTTGTTAATCACAGGGATTTATTTCTCTTAGTAATAGCAACCAACGCGAAGGTGGGCACCCATTTCTTTTTAGGCCCTTTATGGGAAATGGACTCTGCTTTCTACCCACGCAGACTATGAGGCTCCAAATACCTGGTGGTCATTTGTTTGGGTGTTTTGTTCCATCATATGCTCTGGTTCCACCCCGATATGTGTGCACATGCCCAGGATTTAATCCTGATCAAAAGTCCAGCTCTCTCCAAATCAAAAAATGAAGTAAAGAAGCTAAATGCACAGCACAGGTCATTAATAAGAGCTCTGGTTTCTTGACGGCTCTTTCCACTATGCCTCAAAGCTGTCTAAGCTGATAAGGAAAAATCATAAACAGCAACTCAATGAGCTTCCTGTGCATGTGGCTCCATTCACAACTTTGCCAAACAGAAGCAAACTTTCTGTTTAAAAAACCGTTTCAATATTTGGCCGGGTAACTTGTAAATTCAGCCCTGTCTCCACACTAAGTTCAGATTTTTAACAGCAGACACGAAGCTCTGCCCTAAGAGCTCAAAAGAAAAGAGCACAGCAACAAAACCAAAATACACTGACAAATCACAGGGCTCAGTGGCAGCTGGCGCCTCTGCTAGGTAACATACACCCCCGTAGGATGAGAGCAGATACCTTCCCTGCATGCCCCCTGGAACCTGCACTAGTGTCCATTTTTATAGATAGAGCTTGGGTATTTCCTCCTATTAGGATGATGGACATGAGCAGTTGCTGTCCCAACATGGGAAAAGTGGGAATGCAGCTTCCAGTCAGGTAGGGCAGGTTACAGGAGAGACTGAAGTTTGGCTGCTCGCATGACTCAAGAGTGGCCATGATTTCTTCCCAAGAATCATTTCCACCCTCAGGGAAAACCATATGAGGGAAACAGAACCCCACTTGGCTCTCAAAATCACTAAGAATCACTTCTAAATAACAGGAGGGAAGGAATATCTGGGGGAAGCGAAAGGCACCAAATCAGGTAATTCCCTGCTGTCAGGCGTGCTCTGAGCCCCCAACCACTGCTGGTTGAGGAATGGAGGAAGGCAGGTGGACAAATATTTTATATTTACATCCCTGAACAACAAGCCAGGAGCATGAGGGGACAGGTTTAACTACAGTGGAAACAAGTGGAAGCAAACAGTGACACTGGAAGAGTGCTTACTTCGGCATCAGCATCTTGTTTTTCTCATAGAAGAGACGAAGGTCTTGTGGGCTGCTGGCCTACAGAGGAGAAAGAAAACCAGTGTATGAAGCAGTTTACAATAAAGCAAGAGGATTAGTATTTCCATTTCACAGTTACTGAAGAGCAGAGGCAGCTTTGCAATTGCTGAACAAGCACAATGTGAACTTGCAGCCCGCTTTGGATTGCAAAGCAAATGCTGTGGCAGAGCAAGAATACCACATTTCAGACTTTATGTCCCTGACCTGATTGCATTTTGCTCTGCCCTTCTGAGCGTCATTTCAGTGGGTCCTGATGCTCAGATGCCTAATAGCCTCACCCATGAGGCCAAATAATTGAGGACCTGAGGGCTGCCTAATGATGAATGGCAGCTCCTGCTGAGACCAAGGATTAGTGCTGCAGTATTTAGAGAAGGGGCAGGGAGCCCAAGTCTGTGTAGAAACCAGGAACACAGGGAAACAACAACTCAATTAGACTTTTCTAACTTAATTCTAGGAAGCCAGAAGGTCTGAAGTCACAGTGCCTCTTTCTGCACAAGAAGTTTGCAATCGCCAGTGTACAAACAGACACAAAAGTTGCATGTCATTTCTCCTTTGGACTTCATATACCAAATAAGACAGGGGCACTAAATTAATCCAACCATCTCGAGCCTTTGTGCTTAGGTAAAGTCTCTTTACTAAGGGCAGAGCAGGCTGGATGGTGTGTCAGACATGCAAGTGCACACAAACAAGGAGGGAAGATCACAGAGATGTGTGTGCAAGCTGCTATTGTTGCAGCAATGTTTAGGAAAAGATGAATGAGTGGGCAACATTCAGCAACTCCCGAATGCTCTGGGCCAAGAGGGAACCTCGAGCCTTCCACCCACCTCCATTTCTAAATTGGAAGCATTTAAGGTCAGTTAAGATGCTTAAAATGGCAAATCTGACAAGCCAATCTGCAGATGGCCATCAATGCCGACACCACAGCATGGCTGACAGAGCAGCTACACAACATGCTGTTTCAACATCACCTACTCCCTCTGGCTGAAGATGAAAAATTAAGTTAAGGATAACTATGAAGGCTCAGCACAAAGCTCCAGGAGGAGGAAAAAGAAAACAAAAAACAAAAAACAAACACACACATGGAGAGTCTCAAAAGCAGCTAAGGTCAGACTGGCAAGTGTTGATCAGGACAAGGCTTCTTGCACAGCCTTAGCCACCCAGCTCCACGACCGACCTGGACCAGCAATGCACGACAGGTACTGCTGCATCTGCAGACGCTGGCACAGAGCAACTGGATTCCAAGCAGAGAATATAAGAAAAATCTGGTTTTCCTCTGCAATAATCCACCCTTTGCTGTTCACAGACTCAGCAGGGGCCCGAACAGGAGATGCAAAGATATTATGTTCTTCGCAAACCATTAACTGAGTGCTGTCCAGCAGAGCACATTGCTACCCAGAAGTAAACCCGTGAAACGGCATTCATTTTAGCTCACTACAACCCCAGCTTACACCTCTCCCCTTGCAGATCTTGCCCTGTAATTAGATCCTTAATATTTGGCTAACTTAAATGAGGCAAGTGTCCACGCTGCACCACACAGCTTGCCCACAACGCTCCACATCCCAGAAAACTGGGCGGACAGACGCCCATCCGAGGGGGAGCTCGATTGACCGCAGGGAAGCCAGGCGCTCGCTCCCGCGGAGCCCCACGAGCCTCGGCCGCTTTCTCTGCTCGCTTCCCCTCGCAACAGCTCCTTTGCTTCGGAATGCAATGAACCTCCCATCTACTTCAAACATTGTTTTGTCAATTTGCCTGACAATAAAGACAGACAATATTAAGAGCAGCATATAGCTTAGTTCATTAGAGAGAGTTTCTCAGCACTGGCTTGGAGGAGAAACAAAATCCTCAGTAAGTTTTCCCAAGTTTTGCACAATTCCACACATCAGGCTCCCAGTAGCTGCCTGGATGAACCCATTGCTTTCCTGCCATTAGCACCCATTCCATAAACCACTGGTACCCTCAGACACTTTGCTCAGCTCCTCCTTCAACAGGGAACACTGCTCTGTACATCATGGAAAATGCAAAAATATTTGAGAAGTGTTAAAAATGCCCTTTGAATTCCTACCTCCTGGAGCTAGAGACTTCATCTGAAACCTGCCTTTCAGGCACAAAGACACACACACACACACACAAAAAAAAAAAAACACCTGCATTGGAGTCACCTAACACCTGGACCATTCAAGGTAGTTGGACCTATCTGCTACCTGTAGGACAGCACCCATCTGTCAGAAACAGGGATGCAGAAAGGACGTCTCAGTTTTCCCCAGGAACAGAAGAACTACAGGCCAATTCATGTCCTTGTTCCCTCCTCTCATGTTACTCTGGAGCAGCTGCATTAGTGCAACTGAGTCTTTCTGTTTGTTCTTTCCATATATAAAAACAATGGGACAAATTCAACCCTGCCGGTTGTTGCTCAGTCCCAGGCAGCAGGTAAGCACGTTTAGCTGGTAAAGGCACCCACCACAACCCTGCCAAATCCCACCAGGTACCAACTGCCTGCAAGCCAACTTCAGCCCTGAAGCACTGGGGAGCGCTTCATCTCAGTATGGGATTTGTTGCATCCAGGAAAAAGCTGATGTCCAGGGCTCAGGCATGAGAGCCACAAGTGTTCACGCTCTCGGTGGACAACGTATCATAGCAGGGAGGACGTTGTTTGCTCTTTCATGAGGTCCTTCCTTCAACATCCAACTCCGTATGTGTGTGCGTCTCCAGCTCCTCCTAAGACTGAGCTCATGTGACTCTAGTCTCATTGAAAACATCATCCAACAAGCACTGAGTTGGATTTGGGGAGATTTCTTGACTCTGTAAATCTTTCTCTTCCCTTTGCCCACCCCTAGTTTTGCTTGTCACCTGCCTGCAGAGACTTCATCTCTTCATGATGAGCAGAGATCACTGCTGGAGCCCCTAGGTGCTCTCTGCCAAGGACCAGCAAGGCCAGGAAACGCACAGCCCAAGTCCTCAGTGACAGAGAGGAAGCCCAGGCCACTTAGTCAGCAAGGCAAATTAACAATTCCACATTAATACAGTGCTCAGCAAATCTGTTTATAGGGATTCTGAATCCTATTAATCTCATCCTTCTGGCGGTCTCACTGTTTTGTTTATGGGCATGTTTAATACAAAAAGCTCCTTAAGACAGCTTCGCCAGCCAGCCTACCAACTGTCCACGTCCGACAGCCTCGGCAGCTTCTTGTCCACATGCAAGAAGGCAGGGAAGAGGCAGGAATAGCTCTGGGAAGTTACCTTGGGTGACCCACCTACAGATAATTTTAACTTTGAGACAGCAAGAAATCATATTGACACATACACACACACCTCTCCCTTGATTTATAAGCACTTTCTCAACTGACAGCTACCTCAGCCCTTCCACACAGGTTTGATCTTTTCTCCAGGCCCCTGAAGCCCATTTTATTTTTAGTTTACTCCTTCCTCCTTGCTACACTCGAATCCTTTTCGTTTGCATTCCTGTGAAGTGGCCCAGCTGGCTGACACAGTGAACAGCTAAGGACCTAAAAGCAGAAGGTCTCAAGCTGCACTCCAGGTTCTGCTGGGGTTTCCCACTAGAAAGGGCAGTGGTGACATCCCTGAAGGTGAGGGAGGGACAAATTGGGAGGTTTTAGCCTGGAGTTAGTGTCAGAAATTCAGTTCCTGGCCATCCCAAACAATTGGGTTTGCTGGTGGCACCACGAGGTCCCCTGGCTTTAGGCAGGTGGGGAGATGAGCAGCTGATTCCAACAGCTCCGTTTCCTACCCAAAAAGGGTCCCCGGCAATCTCATCTGGACGCAGCACCTCTGTTCACCACCTCTCTCCCCTTGCCCACGAGCAAGGGCTTCTCGCCTGCCTGGAGACCATCAGCCATCACAGCAAATTCTTTACATGTAGTCTAGCTGAAGAAAAAGCTGGTTAACTTTTAACTAGTTTGCCAATATCTGACCTGGGCAGGTTTCATTCACCTGAAACTAGCAGCTGGGAAAAGGCAGTTTTCAGCACACATGGTCAAAGCAAATAGATGGCACGTGGACAACCATCTGGGTTGAGCTTTTCCTTCCCCCTGATCAAACACATCCACAGCTGCTACTGCACTAACAAATGGGGCCTGGCATTTTGTTTCAAAACACAAACCCCCAAAAGAGCAAAGGGCTTGGGGAAAAGTTAAAATAAAAATATCCACCCACCCCTGCTCCAGCCCAACAGATGTCAGATGTACACGTGAAAGAAAGAACGGATCAACCAAGCACAGGACTGCTCTCACCTTCCTCCTCCTCACCTTTGCTAAAGGGATGAATGACACTGACTACTGTTTCATTTTATTTCTTGGGAAAAATCCCAATATTCTCAGAAAAAAAAAATCCTGCTACGCATTTCAATGACCAGTGATAAGAGCCACCCACTTCCAAAAAAAAAAAAAAAAAAAAAATCAGATCAATTGCCCCAGGATTCTAAGTGCAAAACACCTGTGATAAAGTCACCATGTCAGTGATGCCTAAACAATTTCAATGAGGAGGAGGATATCAAGGCATCTTCAGAGACCAAAATACTCCACTGCAAGAAGAAATAAGCACCAGACTCCTCCATGCATTCAGGGTCAACCTTTGCTTTTTTCCACCCCCACAGTTTTCCCTTAATGCAAACGTTTATTTTCTTTTATCTTAGTAGTTGTTTTTTTTCTTTCTTAAACAGAAGTACATATACATACATACACACACATATAAACACACACAAAAGGCACCAAGGAAACAAAGTTTTGCTCTAAATACACAGCAAGGAGGAGGGAGTAAAGATTGCAAAGCACTGGCATAAAAGGTTCTTAGAGCAATGAGGTAAAAACACCTTGGAGGAGAAAAGCTGTAGCACTGATATAAAACCCAAACGGGCCATTAGTTTACTTCCATATTTTCCTAAGATGCAGCATCTTTCCTGCCACAAATTCAGAATTCACTTGATCCTTCTTGATTATGCAACTTCACATGAGACTTTGAATGCCTATGAAATCCTAAAGGGTTAAGTTAAAGGGCAGGATGTCCTGCCGTTTATAAAACTTGGGTTATTACACGAGCACAGAATTTTCCTCACACCACTGACTCATTTTTTATTTAGGGTCAAGAGATGCCAGGACTGGTAAAGAGGAAATAAAGGTCACAGTTCACCCATCTGGTGGACCCGATCTAGGAAGCTGAAGAGTTGGTGTCAATGACACTAACTCAGCAGGCAAGTGTAGGACTTGGTCTTATCCATATTCCATGGACTGGAAAGAACTGAGCTCTACAGAGCTCACAGTTAAAGATGTGGCAAGACACCAGTAACTTAAGCATCTCTGCTAGGATGCAAACCAGCAAGGAAAAGAATGACAAATACAGCACTTCAGACTCTCCCTTGCAAGCATTATTTTGAAGATCTCATTAAGAAAAGCAGCCAGACTGATGGGTCAGCACGGAAGAGAGAAGTAACACGATGTGCACTCTGTGACACACCAAGGATCGGCAAAGAGAAACGCACTAAATCAGATTAACTCCAGTTACATATAAGATTAAAAATAGGTGAAGTAATCCTGAAACAACTTGCATAAGGTTGTGGCAATTTTTCTATCACTTGCACATTTTAAATCAAAGAATGTCTGTCACAAAGATATACTCTAGCTCAGTCAGCTGTTATATTCAGAGGAATTTGGACTTGATGATTGTAAACATTTAAAGCTGGAAGGGATCCCTATGCGTTGACAGATAAGATCCTTTTGATATGACCCTATTTAACTACTCCAAAAACAAAGCCAGTTCAGCTGCAACACACCACTTGTCACCAAATCATCCATAACATTAACATGTAATTAGAGTCTTCCTTATTGTCCTTACATATCCAACAGAATTATAATTATCAATTACACTCTGAGCACAGCTGTAAACAGAAGTGAATTTTAAAGCACTGCCTGAAAGCACCACTGCTTTAACTAATCCAAGATAATTTTCTGCTGGGATGACCTTTGCTGAGGGCTTATGCTTAGAAGATACATTTCACAGACACAGGCTGAAGAAGTGTCATCTTCCACTATCACTTCCAGAATTACAACATATAAAGCATCACACTGCGGTGTGCTGGACGGCCAGACCTCCAAGGGTCTGCAGGACTAGATACTATAAGTGACAGAAGCCTTAGAATTACTGGATTTAAGTAGCGAGAGAAAAAAAACAGAAACATTAAATCTAAAGAACTTACCTGAAATGGAGCCTTTCCCGTCAGACACTGATAAATTATGGTTCCTATACTCCAGAGGTCAGCTTTGGCATCATAGTGCTGAGACATGATGACTTCGGGTGCCTTTTAGGGGAAGAGAAGTGAAATCTGTTTTATACATAAAAAAAAAAGTGGCTTTTTTTTGTGGGGGGGGGGGGAAAGGGGAACAGCTGCAAAAAAGAACCAGAAACCACCAATATTCTTTAAAAAGCCCTGAGGCAGATTCCCCAGAAGCTGTGGGAGCTCCCACGTAGGAGGATGGTAATGCTACCTTGACAGGGGCAATTCCATACCTAGGGTGGGTGGGCAGAGGCAAAACCCAAACCCAGCGACACATCCCACTAAACTCACGCTGTCCTGCCCACCGTGGCAGACCCTGTCCATCCCCTCCTCAGGGCACCCTGCCCTGCTGAGCTGCACCCCGGGGTCTCCGGGCACTGGCACGGCCGGACCTGCCCACGCCAGGGGAGCAAGAGCTGAACGCGGCGGGGAACAAAGGCTGGAGCTGCCCGGGGAGCTCCGGCCGCTGCCGCGGGCAGCGTCACGGCCCACGTCTGCCTCATTTATCCCAAGATGGCAGGATATTAATTACGCACCCGAGGCCGCTGCCAGTGACACAGTTGGGCTTCTGAGGCAGATCCGTTTCACCCCGAACGGCTCCAGCCCTGCTAGCCCACAGAGGCTGGTGTCTCATCTCACACCGTGCCCTCGATTGCTCCCGCCCGGGATCGTTCCAGAAGCTGGAAGCGGCGCAAGTGCCCAAAGCCGCATGGTCCCCAAGTCCACGTGTCCTGGGAGCAGCAGCAGGGAAGGGATGGGTGGGCAGGCTTGCTAACCCCAAACACTAAAACAACAGATTTCACCTCCGTGCTGCCAGCACACCGATGAACTTTCTAGTTCTGCCACAAGGAAAGGCCATGTGTAATGGAAACAAGTGGCAGCAAGTAAGTAGGGGAGCAGAGCTTGTCTGGACGGGAAGCAGACATAACACCGAACAAAGTTGGGGAAAATAAAGGGGACGTGAACTATGCGCGGAGGTTGCACATCTCACAGGACACAGATCGTATCGTGCTCAGGCACAAAGCTCATTTTCGTGCTGGTAACATACTTTTCTTTTTAAGAAAATGAAAAGAACAGCTACAGGCTATGAGCTAAGACAAGCAATATCAGCCTTGCTAGCAGATGTTCCCAGGGCTAACGCACAAGACCCACAATAGCATTAGAGAGACTTCAAAACACCCACCCTAAATCCCCATTTAACCCTCCCTTGCCCTTTTCCCTCAAATCTTGCAATAAACAGAACAACATGGAATTTTCCAAGCTTACAAGAAGTCTCCAGGGCTCTTTATAGAAAAGAAAAAACCCACAACCACACAAGGGTCATCAGCAGTTCCCTCCAGCACTCTCAAAACATGAGCTGAGTGTTTCGATTTACTTTCACGAGAGCCTCAAAAATAAAAAGCATCACTGAAAATAGACAATTCAGGAAACTCTCACCAGGAAAAAAAAGTGACATCATCTACACATATAGCGCAGTCAAGTAAACAGCAGGTTTCAAAAAAGAAAAAGGGAGGAAATAAGCTTTGCACAAGGTTTGTATGGTGGAGCAGACTATCAAACACGCTACCACTGTGCAGTGTGGCCCAGCTTAGCCTAACTCTGTGCCTGAAGAGTTCAAACAAAACTTAGGTGGACTAAATGATGTTCAAGTTCAGATCCTCGCTCTCCCCAGTGCATTTCTGAAAATTTCAGCCAAATGGATCCACATGAACTCTTTACTTTGAGCTCAGACACCCACATTCCTGGAAACTATTACATAGTTTGTTTTGTCATTTTTATTTCTGACCTACTTTTGTCATTTTTAATTTTAGCACCCTGATGGGACACCGAGATGTCTGTGTTGATGAAAACAGTCAACAAGAGATCACCTCCTTTCATCCTGCTCTGAGGGCAAGAGGTACAAAGGAGGTGTCAGGGATCACTTTGTTTTTTTAAAGCATCTATTTCACAAGAAAGAAATCATCCCTGAAGCACTTGGTTTGCTAAAAGAATATTTGGAGGAGGCACAAACTGTAAAGTCCAAATAGAAGCAGGTGAGCTCCATTTAGAGTTGTTTGCATAGCAAAACAGATTTAATTGCCAGTTAAAAACATGGCAAGGATGGCAGAATTGCCAGCACCCAAATGGATTTTGAGAGACCAAAGAGCAAAAATGTTTGGGAACTCTACAAACTTGCTTCTGAACAGGGATCTTTATGCTGATGCTTTGGGCTTGGCAAAAGTGACTGAAAGGTCCAAGGTGAAAGGGGTTTTTTGGAACCTCTGTCTCAAAAAGGCCTCTTGAAGCACAGCAGCTGAGGCTCCTCTCCCAGGAAGGGCCTCAGAGTCTACCAGGTGTGTGAAACACCATCCTGGCCTTCACTCTTTTGCTGCTGCCTTTCCTGTAAGGAGGAATATTAGATATCACTTTCTAGCACCTTGCCTGGACAGGCCCTGATTGTCCCTGAAAGATTCAGTCTCTGGAAACAGAGGAGGGTCAGTACTCCATACTCCATTTTGTTAAGTTTTATTTATCAACAGCTCACCTGAAAATTAGGTAACACAGCAGCACCCACCACAGGCATCCGCCACCTGACATTACAGGCTGCTAGGACTTCAGAAAGTCTCCCAGTGTAATAGATTTTTGACAAGTAGACAAAATTCCACCTTTGTAAGATATTTGGGGAGGAAAAAGAGAAAACAGCTACCCTGATTTTTGTTGGGAAAGGCTTTGTTTCTAGAGGAGCAGAGTAAGAACAAGGGAGAAACACTCACCAGCAAAACTCACTTACCATGTACATAGGTGAACCACACAGCGTTGCTGCCATCATGTTATTCTGCAGGTATCGAGCAAACCCAAAGTCAGCTACAAAGGGAAAAAAAGAAGTGTGTCAGGAACAGACACCGTTTCTACAGGCTCTGCACCTTCCTCAAACTGCCCTATTCCTCATGAAGCCTTGCAGCAAATGATTCCGTCTTTTCCACAGGACATTATTAACCATATCCCTGAACAGTGACATCCTTGTGTTAATTATTAAGACAAGCTACAGATATTACAAAGAGGGAAACAAAGATACAAAAAGTATTCAGAGGAACAAATTCCTTCCTATCTTAGAAACCAGTCACTTTTCCTGCAGCTATTTGTCTGTATTCCAAAGTATCAGCAAACTGATTACAGTTCTTGACTTCAGTAAGGGTGTACCAATTCATACTAGCTACAGCAGAACTCACAATCTACAAATGCGTCAAAGTGCTAGCAAACTGCAAAGATTTTCACATCACTAATTTGCTGCTACCTCCACTTATAATCTGGGGGAATAAAAGCTTCTCTCCACTGAAAGAACTGCAGAGCAACAGACATACAACAGAAGCCACTGCTTGTCACCAGTCACATTTCTGGAACCTGCTGACTTAACCCTGACTTGCTCTGTTCTTTTAGAAGTTTTAATAATGATAATAATCGATATGAAGAGAGAAAGTCAAGCTACTACTTCACCTGGTAGATAGAAAAGCCAGAGGCTATGAAAACCAGGATGAATTACATCTGCAGGTTACTCAGCATCTTATCATATGATGTTTAGAGATTCTCTCAAGGTTACCAGATATTTCAAGCAAGGAGATTATTTGACACAGTTGTTTACACTGTCATCTGTCACTGACAGACTGGTCTGGCTGCCTATAGCCTCTCCTGGACCACAAACTGCTCAGGGAAGTGGGAGGGAGTGGGTTGAGGGCAGGACAGGCTGAAGAAGAGCCGTGCTCAGGAGGCAGCTGCTGCGCCAGGCCCCAGAGCTCCAGCCACTTCCACCTTCGAGACCTCTGCGTTTCAGCAGCCGCTTCAACCACAGCCAGTGGCAGCCGTGTTTCAAAGAAGCTTTTCCACTGACTCTCATTTCTCAAACAAATGAGGGCATTTACACTTTCTCCACAGGGCAGGCAAGGACTAGTTTTATCTAACTGGCATTAACTTCAGCTTGTGAACTGTAACATAACAGGACAAATGCCTGTGTGTCGAGAATGATGTTAACTAGCACTCATTTCTTAGGGACCACAGGGGATATCTGTGCTCAGTGACTGCATTTTTGGAGCATTTTTCCTAATTGTCAATCCATCCATGCTGCTTGACACCCTCTGTGCCCAATATGCACGAAAAGAAGCTCTTCAAGCTGCAGCTGAGAAGCCTTTCTGTAATTTAAACAGTGGACATGACTGTGCCGACTCCCACTATAACCTCTGAGGCCAGCAGACAGTCTCAAGCCTTAAGACACAATTCTTGAGAATTTGACAAAAAAGTCACTACAAGAACTCATTTGTTGACACGGCTGGAGATTACAAGCCAGTTTGGGCAGGGTGGTATTTGTTTTTACGAAGTGAGGCACCATCCAAGGCAGGAAAGCCCATCCAATTCACTTCACCTCAGTTTCTGCCCTGCCAGGGCAGAACACTCTTGCTCCTACTGCTTGGAGACAGACTGGAGCTGGCTGAGCTTGGGTCTTTCTAGTAGAGGAATTAACAGAGGAAGCTGGAAAACCTTACGGCATATTAAAAAGCACAGAATTTTTTTTTTCCCCCTCCTCCCATCTAGACAGTTCCCAAAAGAGAAGTTGAGGCTTGCTGCTTATCAGTTACCAAGCCCTCCTGAGAGCTCTTGGGATGGCACTTTTACCAGGGTCTTACCAATCTTTATCCGAATGTTGTTGGGATTTGATTTCTTGCCTCCAGCATAGGAAAGAAGGATATTCTGTGGTTTCAGATCCCGATGGATGATGCCTTTGCTGTGCAGCATTTTCATGGCACCTGCTATCTGCTGCAGAAAGAGCCTGATGGTGTCCTCACTAAGTGTCCGCATGGCTAGGGAGGGAAAAAAAAAAAAAAAAAAACAGATGAAAAATCATAATGCCAGTTCTCCTAAGAGCCCAGAGGGCAGCTTGTCCACAGCAATTAGCCATAATTTGGCATTTTTAGTTCCACGTGTAACTTTTGTTTTTTTTTCACCACACTATTTCTGAACAATTACTGCAGAGACTAGTACTCTGGGGAAGGGAAACTTTCCCTTCCCTTCTCCCCAGCGCTTTACACACACTGTGGTCAGGGCTCAACTCAGGGCAGCAGTGAACCTGAACTGGAGTTCCCAGGTGGGTCCAAAAGCGACACTTGAGGTTTAGGGCTTCAGAGGCATTTTGGACAGAGTAAGAGCCATGACCACAAGGCACCTGTAACTTAGGGATTTGACTAAATCAAAGCCTGGGCCTAACCTTGGTGCATCATCACCCTCTAGGACAAACCATACCTCAAATTCCCCAAGTTTGGATGAACCAGAGCTCAGTGATACCTAACATAGTATCTGACCAAGTGGGTCCCTGCAAAGTCCAGCTCAACACTCTCGGTCCTGCATCCACAGATAAGAAGGAGCAGCTATAGTAGCTGAGAACTCTTTTTAAGTAAATACTTTTTAAAAAAATATTAATAATTCAACCCTCTTAAGTATATAAGCAGTGCACTTTCCCTGCGAGACAGGCTTCC